ATTTTTGGTGTTTTTACGACTGCTACCTCCTGCAAAAGGTAGGTAGAATTTTTCTCAGTCACGAGATACAGTTTTACTGATGTCTTATTAACGGCTGATTGTGAGTCCGAAAATGACCTTAATTTTTCCCGTTCACCTCTCAGTTTTCCGGAAAAGCGACTTTTTCCCGGGAAAATGAGCTTTGACGTATGTTTGTCAGGCATGCACTTTATTTTCATAAATTTTCCCGGAAACGTGGTACTGTGTTACATATGTATTTTGAGCTGTTGAATCCGAATATGACCTCGGTTTTTTCTATGACCCTCTAGTTTTCCGGTTTAGCCGATTTTTTTAAGCCTAAAATTGTGTATAATAAAAGCTTTCCAAGACTCACAGTGTATTAAATGTACATTTTCAAAATGTCTCCGATGTGTGATACATCGATTCTTTTGTATTTTGAACTGTTGAATTCAAATGTGATCTCAGATTTTTCCGACATCCCATCCTTTTCCCGGAAAACTCGCTTCTCCCAAGAAAACGCTCTTTTCAAGTATTTTTGCGATGATTTTCTTGTTCTCAGGTGTTTCAGAAATTTCCGAGATCCTCTTAAGGTCACTCTTGCTGTATTAAGAGGCACTGAACTCGAATTTGACCCTCACTCATCTTTGACAACCTCCTGTTGCCTGGAAGGTCGGATTTTTCCGGGCCAAAGATTTTCCGGACTGTTCCCACTTCCAGAGATATTCAAAACATTTTCCGCATGTGTGGTACATCGGTTCTCATGTAATTTAAGCTGAAAAACCCAACTATGACCTTAGAAATTTGTTATCGACCACCATTTTAACGGAAAACCCGACTATTTGGATAAATGGGTATTTTTTATTATTTGCGGTGTTATTACGACTGTTACCCCAGTACAATTAGGGTAAAATTTTTCTTAGGTACAAAATAGAATTATCACGTATTTTGGGTCTCTAAGTCCTAAAATGACCTCAGTTTTTTTCAATGACCCCTTAGTTATCTAGAATAGACACTTCTTTCCGGGAAAGTGAGAGAAATTAACTTATTTTAGTCGGGAGTGCAGCTGTTAGTTAATTAATTATCCTGCATCCATATACAAGAGATTCTTATGTGCTTCAGATTGCTAAATCAGAATATGACCTCCTATTTTTTCATTACTCTTGATTCATCGGGAAAAGTCAATTTTTCTAGGAGAACGATTTTTTTTTTATACTTGCAAACATGTTCACAGAAAATAGGGTTTTCCGTAAGGAGGGTGGCTGATACAGAATATCTGAGATCATAATTGGGGGTTTCAGCTGGAATTACATGAAAATCGATGTAGCACACATGCGGAGAATGTTTTGAATTTCTCTAGGAGTGGGAACAGTCCGGAAAAGCTTTTGGCCAGGAAAAATCAGACCTTTTAGAAAACAAGAGGTTGTCAAAGATGAGTGAAGTTCAGAATCGATGTATAACACATCAGAGATAGTTGGAAAGTGTATATTTAATACACTTTGAGTCTGGGAAAGCTTTTACAATACACAATTTTAGGCTCGGGAAAATCGGCTTTACCGGAAAACTAGAAGGTTATAGAAAACTAGGGGGCTACGCTCCCTGAGGGCGCTCCGCGCCATGCCGCTTCGCGGCTCTTCATGACGGAAGTAGTAAGAGCCTAAGTAATAGACTATCGATGCTGTCTAATTTTTTCTTTATTTTCATTTCTTTTTTTTACTCATTTATATATATTTATTTGGATTTTCTTCGTTTCCGACTTTTATTGTTGCATTTTTCTCTTTTAGCCTCTCATCAATGTTTGTGATATTTCTCCCCTAAAAAATTACGACATGAGGTATATTTTACTTCTTAGAATGAAAAGATTATTGTTTTTGATAAAAAAAAGAGAAATACAGGGTTATCCAAAAGTCACTGACCACCCCTGTAACTTTTTTCCAAATTGAGATAGAAGTTTGAAACTTTGGGAATGTTCCTCGGTCTAAAGGAGTAACTTTTTGGTCCCCCCAAAATTTTGGGGGGCGGCCCCCCTTAAGGGGGGCAGGGGCTAACTTTTTTTTTTCAAATGGCAACCCCCCCTTTGTGATACCTCATTCGAAAGATAATAAAAAAAGAAAATTTTTGGCGCAAACCGCAGGTCAAAATGTTCATTTTTGACAAAATGGCGGCCGGTCAAAGTTCAAAATGGCGGAAATTTGGCATCTCCGTTGTTTATTGACGGGTTGGTGTAAAACTCGGAATCCTAGGGTTTTTCGAGATGAGAAAAACGATTCTGGCATTGGTTTTCCAGAAAAGTCAGTCCTTTTCAAAATGGCGGCGGTCAAAATGGCGGCCTCGAGCGGAAAGTGGATATTTAGGCTGCATATCGTTGGATTTGCATGTAACTTGGTATCTGGGGGTTCTCCGGCACTAGAAGAACGAATCATCCATTGGATATCTAAAATTTTGACAAATTCCAAAATGGCGGCGGAAAAATGGCGGGAAATCAGTTTTACGGCTCTTTACCGATGGATTTGCATGAAATTCGATATCCTGGCGGTTTTTGGTTGGTTAAAAAGGAATCTTTCATTAGATTCTTGAAATATCAAATAATTTCATGCTAATCCATCGGTAAAGAGCCGTAAAACTGATTTCCCGCCATTTTTCCGTCGCCATTTTGGAATTTGTCAAACTTTTAGATATCCAATGGAAGATTCGTTCTTCTAGTGCCGGAATACCCCCAGATACCAAGTTACATGCAAATCCAACGATATGCAGCCTAAATATCCACTTCCCGCTCGAGGCCGCCATTTTGACCGCCGCCATTTTGAAAAGGACTGACTTTTCTGGAAAACCAATGCCAGAATCGTTTTTCTCATCTCGAAAAACCCTAGGATTCCGAGTTTTACACCAATCCGTCAATAAACAACGGAGATGCCAAATTTCCGCCATTTTGAACTTTGACCGGCCGCCATTTTGTCAAAAATGAACATTTTGACCTGCGGTTTGCGCCAAAAATTTTCTTTTTTTATTATCTTTCGAATGAGGTATCACAAAGGGGGGGTTGCCATTTGAAAAAAAAAAGTTAGCCCCCGCCCCCCTTAAGGGGGGCCGCCCCCAAAATTTTGGGGGGACCAAAAAGTTACTCCTTTAGACCGAGGAACATTCCCAAAGTTTCAAACTTCTATCTCTATTTGGAAACAACTTACAGGGGTGGTCAGTGACTTTTGGATAACCCTGTATATTTGAAGTCAAAAGGATGTGTTTCGCAATGATTGTTTAGTGAGCCATTGCAGTAAAACAACGAATGATTATAATCAGGTGAAAGGGGTGAAAATGAAAGATGACAGGAATGGAATCTACATCTCGCACCGTGCGGGCGCATTTGAGGCCGTAGACTACTCGGCCACAGCCCATCATACGAAGCCCGATGCAAAACTTGTGTTCATAAGTAGAGATGATGCGCAGGCTACTCAGCCACTTCGCAACCTCCTTGGCCACTGCGCAACCTTCTGCGCAGAGCAGGAGCAGTTGCAGTGCATTCTGTTAATTCGCTCATTTTTATAACGTATTTGTAAGAAAACCTGGGTCCTTTATCCAAAATCTGATTAAAGCGGACTCATCTAGGGCCTATCGCCTGCGATTACCGCAAAAATCATGAAAATCGGCCCACTGGTAAGCTCAAACGAACTATGACAAGAAATATAAATTTACATAGTTTAAATGAAGAATTGAATTTGAAGAATTCGCAATTTTATCACATGATATATAAAAAAAAAACCTGGGCCATATTTTGAAAATCTTAATAGAGCGGGCTCATCTAGAGACAACTGCCTGTCGATTGCCGCAAAAATAATGAAAATCGGCTTGATAGAACGCTGGAACTAACCGTTAACAGTTCTGCAAAATAAGGAGGTCTCGGAGCTTATAGTATAGAAACCAAGGTCATATTCGGATACAGCAGCTCAAAATACATAAGTAACACACTGCCACGTGTTCGGGAAATTTATAAAAATAAATTGCATGCCTGACAAATATATGTCAAATTTGCTCATTTTCCCAGGAAAAAGTCGCTTTGCCGGAAAACTGAGAGGTGAACGGGAAAAATTAAGGTCATTTTCGGACTCACAATCGGCAGTTAAGAAGACATCAGTAAAATTGTATCTTTTGACTGAGAAAAATTCTACCTACATTTTGCGGGCGGTAAGAGTCGAAAAATCACCAAAAATTCTCAAAAATGGCCATTTTCCCGAGAAAAATCGGCTTTTTCGGAAAATTGGAGGGTGATGGAAAAAAACGGAGGTCATACTCGGATTCAGCGCCTCAAAATACGCTAGTATGACCTAATCTCCTCCAGGAAGAATACTTAAACACATGCGTTTTCGATACTTTAAAACCGTCCACACACAAATCATGCGAATACCACTAATGTCCAGAGTCCTTTCTTTTTAATTCCTCCATCCCACACAGAAGAGGAGCTGGAAACTGTTAGGGATCCTTTTCTACAATCCACTCCTGTAATAATTAAGTTCTAAGCATTTTTTGATCCTGCGTTTAAAAGGCTTCTAAAGTTTTTTGCAGTTCTCTCAAAATTAGAGAAGATGGACATCAGCGATTTTCGCATGAGCCGATTCAATAGTGCCAAAAACTTATGTCATAACAAATAGGTAGGTAATTACTGAGAAGCACGTCGCAGCAATGATTTCTCTTTACATGCCCATGCAGCAGCTTTCCCTCTCTGATGAACTCCCACCTTACCCGCCCATCATGGAGCTTTCCCAAACCTGTCCTGCTCCACTTACTGGCTAAAAGGTAAGCAACGCACAGTCTTTTCTAATCAATGTCTTTGCCTTTACGACACCTCCTAGTAGACCAGCAGTGTGGACAAAAACAAAAAGGAGACAAATAGTGAACTAATTTCAACTATTAGGACAAGTCTGGGGAGGGGGCATACATTAGAGTGACCTTTCTGGTCTGGAAATTTACTCTCCAAAAAGAAGCAAAAACAGCAATTTTAAAAATCTAACCTGTAGGAAATAATAATTCTCTAGATCAAGCTCTGATTCACTTGGCTGATCATCACTTTCACTGTCTTCACTACTCGACATCATTGGACATTGGGTATTATTTATGTTTTGCCCAGATCGAAGCTGTGATAAGGCATGACGATGCAACCTACGCTGTTCTGCAGCATGTTCTCCTAGAGAAAATCGCTGTGCATGGGAGTGTGTCCAAGACATTCCAAGAGTGGATCCACCCTATAATGGCAAATAAGAGGTAAATCTGACTTTAATGAAGTTGATGAGAGTTCGAGAAAAGTGCTGGAAAAATTCAACATCAAGTATAAAAAGTTTAATATCATTTCTTGAGATAAAAGCTGGTAGGCCAGGTGGTTCACACCTTCATATCTAAAAACAGTCGAAGACTGTGATTAATCACATGAGAAGTAAAGCACATAAAGGAGGATCAAAACTAGAGCAGGGACGAGAAGGGCAGTGGACGTCCCTCCTCCTTGAGTTCCAGGTGAACCCTAAAATGGAGCCCTCTAAAAATTAGTACTGGAAACGGTTGAAGACAGAGGCAACTCTTAAACACTACATAATGAGACATAAGAGGAATATATTTCATCATACTCCAAAGGAGAGTTTCTTTTTCAAGCTACCATAAAGTATGGAATCATTCATGAGAAACTTAGATGACCCTTAACATGTTTCTAATCTCATACATGATTTTGTTCTTTAATTGTCCTTGAAATGGATTGGAATGGACAAGGTACGAATTAAAACATTTTAATATAATTCCTCTTCAAAATTTCTTGTACAGCACAATTTTTGCGTCGAAAAATTACTGACATTAACTCCCCTCCAAGATATTAAGATTTTTAATTAATCTTGGTTAAGAAAAATTTAGAATTTCCTGCTCACTTGAAAGACCAGAGTCTAATTGAATCAAACCCCTACAAAAACCATTTTGGTAGACTTCTCGATACGCAAAGTTCTTATCCCACTTTGTGTTGTTCAAAGTGTAATAACTGAGTTGAAGCGCCAAGGTTGAGGTGGTCATGACAATGTCATACCACAAAAACTGTCACAGTGACGTCTAGTAAACGATTTAACTCCAGTGGATTATGGTGGTTTGTCAAGCAGGGAGTTCAAGTCAATGCATTGAAAAACGTTAGTGTCTTGGTTGGAATTCGCTTCCAGTCATGTTTGTTGTATAAATCTTTATTAAAGTTAGATTCGCATCTTGTCAAGAGATCAATTACCGGGAAAACAACATAAAATTGGCTTAAAGGGCAAATTCTGGATTAGTATACAGCCTTGGTTTTCATACAACATTTTGGCCCATACAGTCAGGCGGTTGAACCAGAAACTTTATTGATTCCTACACAAGTATTTTTTTTCTTATTCTGAGGAAAAATAAAATTTAAACCTCATCAGATATTACAATGTTGACGCAAATACTCATTTACAGTTGGGAGGATCAGACAGATGTCAGTGTACACTGTACAGGTGTCATAAAGATGTATGTTCAGTCATTCAATAATGAGAGGAAACTTCACAGCAAGTATTGAATGAAATAAATTCTTACCTGGGAGGGTACACAAGTGAACCCTTGTGTCCTTGGAAAATAAAAGACAGAGACACTATCAAATGAAATTGATTTCTTTTTTTTCTTTACTTCTGGCTCCTCATTGAAGTTAACTTTTTTAGGCTGCTTCAAGTTGCTATGAAAACGCTTCAAAGAATGTTTACTAGATGATGGTATAGAAAAGAGAGCTGCAACATCAGATCGATCACTTTTTCCGAAATCCATCGGCGAGAGAAACATCTGGGCTGAACTTGACTGTATATCCTCTAAAGTTGAAACAGGCTTTGAAATCTGATGGTAGTTGTAATCACTCCAATCACACTCATTTTGGTTGACTGCTACCGGATTTAATTCTTCTGAGGAGAGAGAGTCAGTTCGTAAAACTCTATCATCAGCCAATTCCGATCCAAGCCCCGAGTCACTTCCATCAGATCTGTCGGGCAAACCATCCACAACATCTGACAAAACTTTCATTTGATTGTTTCCTAATTTATATAAGTTCGACTCAGATTCAGCAAGATTCTTCACATTGATAACATTAGAAGTTGCATTTATTTTTTTATCTGCTCTAGTATCACAATTTGAGTCATGTACAACCTCCATTTCTGCAACTCCAGCGACTAAATTGCCATTGATGTTACTACAGGCTTTACTGGCTTCTAGTATATTGGTTACTGTATGGGTTTCAGCCAGGAGGTGTACAGTATTATCTGTAGAACTAAAACGGTCTAAGACACTTGAGCTACTTTCAGAGGCTATTTTAGCAGGATCGACTGAGGATTTTGGCTTCACATTATTCATATCCTCATTTATAACTTCATTGTCAGCTTTGGTTATACTTTCACACTTTTTATTGCTTCCAGAAAGAGCCGCAGAGACGCAGTCCAGTTGCGACTTCATTGCAGCTTGCTCACATGTGAGGTCAGAGAGTGCTTTGAATTTTGGAATTGTCATACTTTCTTCTATGATAGGATTTCTATCAAATAGATTACAGTCACCAATGGCAGTTGAGCAAGCTGCAGTCACTTCCACAACCCCAACACCTCCAGAGTCTTCGAAAATTTGATTGAGAATTTTAGGGTTCTCCGATTCACAGGAAATTTGTGAGACAAACTCACTGCTTTGGTTCAAGTTTACATTATAGATAGTACAGAGAATGCTGCGTTCATGGCTCTTCTCTGCCTCAGCTTCTATTTGGTCGACCATATTGATACTTGATAACGGACAAGAACAATCAACTTTATTAGTTACTTCCGAGAGTAAAGGATTGGTTTTGGTGTCACTTGATGGAACTGTTGAAACCTCAAGAGTTGGGTTCTTCAAGGTCTCAACATGCTGTTGAGACTCAATGCTGTTATTTTCCATAGATGAGAGAATTTAAACGAATTAGATTGGTAGATAACTATATGAATTATTGAGGTTTTATGCAGCTTTCTTTCATAGCAATGTCACTGTCCTATGCTTATTTCCAAAGCTTGTACTTCTCAATTTCTGCATGATACCAATAAACGTCGAAAAAGGACCTGCAACAAAAAAGAGACTAGGTACATATAATTGAAAAATACAATGTTTCATTTTTCTGATGCTACAACATACACGAGGTTCTTCATTTTCCTTAGGCATAATGACAATAATTCAGATAGAACATGATTGTGGGGACAAAGTAACTGCTTCAAATTTTGATAATCATTGATGAAAAAAAAAAAAACTTACAAAAACAATCTTACTGTCTTCCTCATGGATGGATGATAGATATACATATTTTGAAAGATACGGAATAACTTGTGCAAGATATACAGAGTGACCCAAAAGTCGTAGGACATACTTAAAACTTATGACAGATTTGAAGTGGAAACGTAAAATTGGCAGTGCTCCTGCGGCAAAACAGGTAAACTACTTTGTGGACATCCTCCCTATTGTTGAGATCTCCCCTCAGAAAGAGGAGAACACCAGAATATTTTAAGAAAAACCGTACAATTTTGAATTCTTTCTCAAATAATCAAGTATTGTTTGATATTGACCTATGATTCATAATAATATTTATGTACGTTTATTTATTAATTCGTCCACGGGTGATTACAAAACGATAGAGAAAAACAATTGGAGCTTCCACATCGTATGTTGAGACAAACTTCAATGGAGATGTAGCATGTGTAAGGAATTTGCGATTTGACTACTGATTCTTGTGTAAAAGTTCGCAAGAAACACGATAGTGCCACTGGTTTTCTCTGAAATCAACTCCCAAGCTCAAAAAAAGCTCTTAAGTTGAGGCCAAAATGGAGGGGATATCCCACGCTATCCTGAGCATCCACCTCGATATCAAGACAAACTCTCCATGCAAAGATAGGGAGCAAATACATTGACAGGGCTGCCACTTTGTTTGGGGACTCTAAAACTGAAAACACGGCATCACTGCTAATGTATTTGCTCCCTATCTTTGCATAGAGTGTTTGTCTTGATGCAGAGGTGGACTCAGGATAGCGTGGGATATCCTCTCCATTTTGGCCTCAACTTGAGAGCTTTTTTTGAGCTTGGGAGTTGATTTCAGAAAAAAACCAGTGGTACCATCGTGTTTCTCGCAAACTTTTACATGAGAATCAACAGTCAAATCGCAAATTCCTCACATACCTATGCAACATCTCCATTTCTGATTAGCTTTGAATTAGCACCACTCAACAGGTTAATACACGCAGTCAGATGGTACCACTGGGGAATGGTGACAAAGACAATACTTTCATGTTTGTCTCAACATGTGCAGCGCCAGCTCTACACTAGTACACTTGCCTTGAGCTCAGCTTGCGTGGCAAGTAGATAGATAGATAGATAGATACATGCGTAGACAGATAGATGGATAGATATACATTTATTTCAAAAATTCAAATTTACAAAGTACCTACAAAGAAAAACAGCTCCATATGCCTGAAGAACACTTGTGTGGCATATTAACAGTGGTACTACCAGACCACGTATCTCCTTCGCCATGTTAAAAAATCTCCGCTCCTAATTATTTTTTTTTTTTTGAAGGAGAACAAATCAATATAATTTCTTGAAATTTTCAGAGAAAAAAACAGAGAAGTTTTCGAGATATAACTTCGAATAGTTTTACATTTAAAAAATAGCATCGCAAAACCAAGTCAATATGTAACAAAACCAAATACAGGGTATCCCAATAGTCCCTTCCACCCCCTCTAAAATATTACCTAATTAATATATTTTGAAACGAAACTTTGGGGATGTTCATAGATCAATGATAGCTACTTTCGCGGCCCCCCAAAATTTTCGCCCCCCCCCCCAATAGGAGTTGGGGGGCCACCCCAACTTTTCTTTTCAAATGGCTACCCCCCCACCTTTGTGACACATCAATCAAAAGAAGATTATAAAAAAAATTGGCGCAAACTACGAGTCAAAAGTTTGATTTTCAACAAAATGGCGACCGGTCAAGGTTCAAAATAACGAAAATTTGACAACTCCATTTTTGATGACGGGCTAGGAGGAAAATTTGTATCCGGGCGTTTATTGGGACAAGAGAAATGGTTCTGGCATTAGTTTTCCGGAAAATTCTGTCCTTTGCAAAACGGCGGCGGTCAAAATGGCGACCTAGAGCGGTAAGAGAATACTTAGGCTGTTTATCGGTGGATTTGTATGCAACTTGTTGTTCGGGGGGTATTTGGGTAAGAGAAAAACGAATCTTTCATTGGATTCTTGAAATTCTGAATAAGTTTAACATGGTGCCGGGAAAATGACAGAAACTTCGTATAACGGACGTTTACGGTTGGATTCGAATGAAACTCGGGGTCCTGTTGATTTCTGGTTCGACAAAAATGACCTCGCATTGCATTTTTGAATTGATATGTACTTTCAAAACGGCGGCCGAGTTTCATGCGAATCCAACCGTAAGCGTCCGTAATACCAAGTTTCCGCCATTTTCTCGGCACCACTTTGAACTTATTCGGACAGGGTTGTTAGCCAAATTATTTTTTTCCATTCCCTGACTTTCCAATATTTTTCCCTGACTTTTACGTATGCATCTGATGCAGTCTGTTAAAGTGAAAGTGAGAGCTATTTCCGACTATTTTAATTTTCAGCAGTTAGTTAGCGTGCGAATACAGAAAACTGCTTGGTTATGGTGTGTTTCAAAAAATATTTTTGATAATTTAGATTGGACCTTGAGGTTCCAGAGAAAAGGTTTTTCAACGACAACCACCAATGGAGGATTAAGGTGCAGAAGGGGCACTTCTCAGAATCAGTGATTCAGAATTTCCTTTGGCATTCCATTCCTTTCAAGGGTAACCAATGCTTGTGGACTAAAGGGTCATTCCACTGTTCCGGATGTGACAACAATTTACCTTTAGACAAGAATTTAGACACTTTCTTGGGGTTTAATTAAAAATAATCAGCACTGACAGAAAGAACTTTTTTCATACCTACATCATTACAATTTATCAGAATTTTTTTTTACTTTGTTCCATTCCTCAGAAAAAATTATAAGGGTGCATAACAGATTCTGATTCCGATTAAATAATTTCAAAATTTTGACATAAATCTTGATTTCTGAAGTACGAACCCCCCTTTAAACCCCCTCCCCCCCCCCAAGGCCCAAGGGGAGAGCCTGGGGGACTCAGTGATCAAAATTTGGATACCTTAGGGTCGATTTCTTATTCGATCCCACGGTCCTGGACTTCGTACGACTGTGATCTTAGCATCGTCATTGACTCCGTATACTCCCAAAATAGTGACTCTCCATTGTTCATATCATTAAAAAATTTTAAGTGGGAGCATAATATACAGATAAAGATTTGACCTAGTTTCTACAAATGAAAAAACAGCAAAAAAAGAGAGAAATAGTTTTTCCAATAAGAAGAAAAACAGCAAGAAGATACTGGTTTTTTAAATACATAAATCCTTTGGTCGGCAACACACCCCCCCCCCCCCCCCCNAGCGCCCTTACAGATAGACATACTTCAAATATACCAACATCATTCGAAATAGATTACTGTATACAAAGAGAAGAAGTGAAGTTTTTAAATTTTTACCTTGTGCATTTACTTCAAAAAGTTTGAATTTTCTAGGTTTAGCTTATTATGCTCAGTAATTACATTAAAAGGTACATTTCACTTTGAGTAATGAAGCCTCCGAAACAAAACTACCACCGATCTTTCTGACCATCCCCTGAGGCTGTAAATCTCCTCTCAATGTAATATAGAATAGATAATATGTTATTCGTACCTAAACAATGGTGAAACTGCAAAAGTGCAGAGCTCAATTTTTTCCAGCTTTGAGACAGCAAAACTGAGAGTGGAGATGTTTGTTGCTTACCATTAAAACATTTTACTGGAAAAAATCGTGAGGTTACCCAAAAACGTACTTTATTAATTTCCCGCTTATCTCAAGGCTAGTTTCTGAAACACATTTTGTGCCGGCTACATAATTAGACTAACTGCATAAAAAATCAATGTTTGTAGATTAGTTAAAAGTTACATGTCATCTGTGCCAGGAGCACCATTTCAAACAGCAGGCCCGGACAAAAGGTATTAAGGGTTATATTTTTCCTCTTTCACTGACCTGGTGACCTTCCAGTGTAGTCTGGTAAGTAACGGAGTTAGCATATTCTGGTAAAATTATCGGGACTTCTCCGCCCTTCTCTCCTCTCTTGTAGTGCTGAACGGTTTCCCCCAGTCCGTATCTAAATCACAGGGCTGCAGACTGATTGTTGAAATTGACGGACAAAGCGATAGTCAAAGAGGACATAAGGAATGTGGAGTAATCCTAATGATTGGAACCGGTAGTTGTCAGAGACCATGGGGAAAATTGATTAGCTGAGTAAGAACAGGGTCTCTCGCAGGTTGCCGTTAGTAAGTTTATTACATACCTTCTTTGTCCATTGCAATCACCCGCTTCCACCAATAAGATTTCTCAAAATCTTTTTGGTCATCTTTGTCTGCCCTTTGTCTACCAATTTCAACTATCAGCCTGCCTAGGAAAGTGGCAAAGTGCCCAACCTACCGCTCCCTCCCCTCCCCCTTGAATGAAATGCCTCTTAACAATGTGAAAGCTCCTTGATCAATTGGATTGCATTTTGCAAAAAGGAAACACTAGCATTGCAATGGTGCTAAGATTGTGCAACTTCATCTTTCGCAATAAAAATGGGGGAAATCGTGAAAAACTATGAAGTTCAGATGGTAATTTTAGTCTTTTTACAGTTTTTAGCTAGTAAAATAGAAACTATTAATGGACAATCGGGTTTTTCCTCCAAGACAAAAGAAGTTGCACAATCTTAGCAACATTGCAATGCTAGTGGTTCCTTTTTGCAAAATGCAATCCAATTCACCTATGTTGGAGCCCAATATCTCAATTAATAGATCTTTTGATATTATTGGATGCTTCAGCTAGAGTACCTATATCATAGCGTCTATATAGAGTACCTATATCATAGCGTCTATGATAGATGTGAAACTCCGAAAATCCATCAGGCCTTTGCCGATGCCTCCGCGAACAAAGTTAGGGCCCAGAAATGCAGCCAACCTATGACTTTCAATTGTCCAGAGCGATTTCATCATCATTAATATAAACTTCAAAGGATTCTGCCTTTTTCTATTTCACTCGAGGGGAAGTGTCCCCTCCCGGACTCTCTTCCCCACCCGGTGACTGACGCTGCGCTGCTGTGCTGAACGGTTCAGCCTGAACCTTTCCCCTACGTCTGACCGTTCCCCACTCCTCTGTCAATCGAACCATATGCCACCGCTTACGTAATGTCGCTCGCCCACCCAGGTACCTAGCGGCCAGTGGTCAGTTGATGATAAATCTCGCTCATGCGCCTACGCAGCTACGCATTGATTACGCCAGCTAATTACTTTCGAATAATTAGAATTTCTTCGATGATGGTTTTCTTTATTTATTCGACTGTATTTTTTTCTCTGTTCTACTGTGATTTCCTTGGTTCTCTACTGTGTTTTTCCTAAATCCATTCCCCTGTGTGTTTTCTTTTAGGGGACGCAACTAAAATTTCAGTAAATTTTTTCAGAAAAGAAAAAAAAAAAAAAAGTGGCTAACGATGGTTCCTCACCTTCTTGTGGTGTTGGCTGTTTTTACTAAGTGGGAACCGTCCATTTTAAGATATAGTCTATTTCTTGCCCTGCCATTATTATTCTTCAAGTTAATTATGGAGTGAGAATTTCATAATGTTTTCTATGAAATCTTCAAAATGTAGTGATAAAAAATTTGCAACTACTACGAAATCGGCTCGCCGCGAGCCGAATGTCACTCGCGTAGCGAAATGTTGCGTAGCGAGTGACCGGGGGTCCAGGGGGCGTAGCCCCCGGCTAGGCGTGACGGGCGCGCGAAGCGCGCCCAGAACGGCTAGTACTAATACCATTATTAGAAACTGTCGGTTGTAAAGCATGTGTTTGATTTAGTTTCTGCAAAAATTTAAGTACTAATTTTTGCGGAAGAATGCTCAGATATGTACATTCTTGGCCATCTTGGTTAGAATTGAAATCTGCAGTCTCTGCTGACTAGCAGTAAAATTTTGTCTGTTAGACGTTGGTTAGAAGAGTGGCTGCCTTTTTGGTCCCTAAGCCCTCCATGAAGCGATCTGTCCATACTCTCACTATACAGGTACTCAAGTTTCAGCTAAGTTATGTAATTAACAGTGTTACCGTTCTGCGTAATAGGAGGGTTGCTGCGTAGTGGCTGCGTAATGCTGCATAATTGGAAGAATTCTTCGTAATTGCAGTTTTTAAAAAATTTTACTTTATTATGGCGAGTTTTAGGTTAGGTACGTCATGCCGATCTTGATAAACGGTCGAAGAGAAGATAGTTTTTTACCTAGAAGCAATGCTGCAAACTTTGCTACTAAATTCCCACCTTACATAGGTAACAAAAATATTTCAGAATTTCAAAATGAGCATAAGATTGTTCGCAATTTGATTTACACTGCGTAATTTGAAAATTTTTGCGTAGTTTCTGCGTATTATGACAATTTTTCCTGCGTAATGGCGTGCGTAATTGGGAAATTTATCTGCATAATGTTGCGTACTTTGCCGTCAGGGTTGCACACGCAGAACAGAACACTGGTAATTTAGTCATGGCCTGTGTTCTTCTAGAAGGAAGTAGTACTAAAATGAAGCTAAGATAGGGGAATGGTGAGAAAAAAAGACGAAAGCGGAGAGGAGAAATAAAATGAAATAAAATGAGATAGGTCGACTAGTCAGAATCAAAGCCTGAAATGGAACAAAGCACTGCTTCACACTGATGTAACTAAGGGAATCATAGAAACTTGTATTCTTAAAATTTAGTAGCAAGGACCTTTTCCAGATGTAGGTAGTAAGTTAGGAGGTACCACAATCAAGGGCAGGATGAGGATATGATTGATTGGCAGTTGTGGCAGGAGGCTAAGTATGTGGACGAGTCCGTAGTTTCATCAATGCCATTGGTTTCTCAACACTAGGATCTCTCTACTGAGATCCACTAGAATGGAATAAAGTCATAACAGGAAGATGTAATTCACATAACCCTCAAAATGCTTAGCTAACAGGGATTGATACTGACAGTCAAGTTCAATGCATTGATTACAAACTGCGCGATACCCTAGGGTACTCTGTTGTTTCCGAAATCCTACCTCATCAACATGGAAAAAGGGCTTGATATGAATACTTACTAACCACAGAACTTGAAGGGTAAGCAGTTGAGACGAGGAATGCAAAGTGAACAAAAGATGGCATCAGCAAAGTAAAGAATCACTTCTCACGGTAATTACACAGCAACGCATTCTACACATGTTGCAGGGCGGATAAATTGGCAAGGCGCCGCCTAAAATAATTGCAGTAGGTAGACAGGTAGACAGACAGAAGTGGACACAAGACCTGCACACAAGACAAGACACAAGACCCAACTGACGAAAGGGAAGATGAATAATGAATAATAATGATGAACCAGGACCAGGATGAACCATAGAGTACATAGAGTCGTAATGTAAATGGGAGAGCTGGCGCCATGTTCTGCTCGACGAATTCCGAGCCCGGTGTGCGCCGAGTTCGGGTCGCTTTTTCGATACATTTTCGATCCAAAATGGCGGTGTGGAATACATGGTAATTCCTATCTCCGTTGTTGTTGTTGTTGTTGTAATACCATCCAATCAGTAGTGTTCCCAGGTGCTCCTATCACCGCAATCACACGCTGAATGTGGGAGCTGAATGTGGCTTGAATGTGGAAGTCATCGGCCCGATGCCTGAATTTTGCGCGTCACGCGCAAAATTCAGCAACGATTCTCAACAACCATCGGACCTATTTTGAATTTTTCTGAACTATTCGAGTAGATTTGATACACATCTGGTTGAAAATAACTCGAATTTGCTGAATTTCAGCCGTTGGGCGATGACTGTTGACTTCCACATTCAGCTGCTAAATTCAGCGTCTGATTGCGGCACACCTTGAAAAGTCCGTACGCTCTCCGGATGGGCTCGTGTATGTCCGTGCCGCTCCGTGCTCCGTGAATCGCCTCCCGCGATTTTTAAATACTTACTCTAGTGGACTTCCGGAGATACCTATACTTTATTTCTCAAATGAAGAATTACTAAACATCAATTCTTATAAGAACTTCCATGATTTTTCCTCTCTGTACGATGCAAATTCTGAGAAAATTTCAAGGAATGATGTTGATTTGTTCTCCATTAAAAAATACCTACAGGAGCAGTGATTTTTGAATGCTGCCGAACGAACTGTTGTAGCTACCTATGTCCAAATCATGCTTGAATAGCGACATTCAAGTACCTATGTCCTCTAGAAAGCATTGGCAGGAAAAAATAATCGGAACAATATAGGCACCTACATCAAAAAGCAATAATTCAAAAGATAGGAGCTGACTTTAGAAATTCATAATTCCTAACCCATTGAACTGAATTGAATAACACATAAATTAATGCAAAAAGTACTAAATCAGGTCCTGTATGATACCTGAGTTTTATTCGTGGCTTCCTTCTATCAATAACATTGGCGAAATTGAGAAAAAAAGTAAGAAAAAATGTCAGAGTGATCAAACACAAAAGCACAACAATACAGAAAACAGGGACGGACCTTAAATGGAATGGCTGAATTATGATAAGAATACAATATAATTAATGCAAAAAGTATCTAATTTGTTCCCGAACGATACCCGGCTTTCACACTAAACATAATTGTATTAATAACTTACGCAAAAGTAATAAATATTGAATATTGCAAAGAAAAGCGGATTAACAGATGCACGGACTGGGCCGGGCGGGCGCACGGACGTAAATGAAATGACTGAATTTTGATAAGAATACAAAGTATCTAATTTTTTCCCGGACGATACCCGGCTTTCATACTAAACATAATTGTATTAATAACTTACGCAAAAGTAATAAATATTGCAAAGAAAAGCGGATTAACAGATGCACGGACTGGGCCGGGCGGGCGCACGCACGGACATAAATGAAATTAGAGTCCCTTTATACCCAGAGTTACGACAACTCGATTATCAGCTGACTGACAGCCGGCCTTGGCTGGCCATGGAGGCCGAAACGAGTGCACCCTAACGAACGATATTAAGGGATAAGGATCAGGAATCCTGCGATGTCTGTTAAACAAAAACAACAACATCAACAAACTGATCAATTAAAAATAAAATGAGATTGGTTTGTGAATAATTTCTTAATCTATTTTCATTTTGGACCGATGGAAATAACAATTTACTCTTGATAAACCACAATTAGGTAATATTTTCATTATTCTTGTTCACATACGAGGTACCGCCATCTTGGTGCACTCGTTTCGGCCTCCATGAGCGAGAACCAATCAGAATTGGATTTTTTTTTAGGCCACTTTCAGCCCAACCCTGGCCCAACCAAAAGTGAGTTGTCGTAACTCTGGGTATAAAGGGACTCTAAATGAAATGACTGAATTTTGATAAGAATACAATATAATTAATGCAAAAAGTATCTAATTTGTTCCCGGACGATACCCGGCTTTCATACTAAACATCATTGTATCAATAACTTACGCAAAAGTAATAAATATTGCAAAGAAAAGCGGATAAACACACGCACGGACAGGGCCGGGCGAGCGTACGAACAAAATAAGATAGGGAAAAATTTTCCCATAAGGTTTTTGTCCGTACGCTGTCCGCGCGGGTATAGGGAATGTCCGCGCGGCACGGAAATATCCGTACGCCTGGGAACACTGCCATAGAATAAAGAGACTACGGCATGGATAAATATACGGCAACAGAAGCGAAACCTCTGCAAGAACCAACAGTGTCATTCTGGTACTTATTGAAACCAATATTCAGGTTACCTAGGTTACCTATGAAAATAAAAGTGGAAAAAACATTAAATTTTAAGCAAATTCACTGTACGTCTCCGGTTTACGAATAAATAAGATTAAAGATACCTCTTTCAATTCCTAAAAACGTACGTATCCGTTATTATTCGACCTCTCCGAAACGTCGACCTAGAGTCCCTGTATAGCGAGAGTATGGACAGATCAAAGACATAAAGACGGAGCGCTCGTATCTAAAAGCACGGGGAAAAAGTGAAGCTAGGTTCGGCGCTGCGCGCTTGTGTGAGTGTGTAAATGAGCGCGGGAATCCATGGCGGCAAACGGAAATTTGATTTGAACTTGTCCTCTTGATTTTTGCATATTCCTTCTTCGAAACGTATTTTAAATTCCTAAAGCGAATATACTAAGAAAGTTCGGTCTGCGTCCTAACATAATACACCTACTTTTGCTCGGTAACAGGCAGTAATCTCAGATAAAGTTAGTTTTTCTTCTGCTCATGGTGGTTCTGC